TTTAAAATATCTTCTAATAGAATTAAAGAAAAAAAAAACTTATTGCTTTTTTCTACTGATAGACAATCTCTTCCACCTAATCCACTCGGGCATTTGCATTTATAACAGTTATTTGGATTTGTATATCCACCATTATAGCAATTCATTTGATATTTACAGGTGTCTGAAATACATCATTGAAATATATATTGTCATTATTTCGGCCCTAATTTTTTTCACTCCTTTTTCATTTTTGGAAAATTTTTAAAAATATTTTTAGGAAAAAATATGTAATTATTATTTCATAAAAATTCAAATTATTTTTCTTGAAATAAAATAAGTTAAATTTCTATTGAACTCATTGTGTGAAAATTTACCATTGCAATATCGTAAATTAATCATTTTTGCGTCTTTGAATGAAAGTGCTTCTCGTTGTCCGATTGTTTGTTGATAGCGCCGATCACGGGTCTCAATCGTATATCTTTAAATCATTTGGTAATAATAATTTGTTTAACATATTCGATAATAACGCTTAAAATTGTACTCAAATCCTATATTATATAAAATTTTTTAAATTCTTCAAGTCAAATGTTTTAAAAAGTGTCGATTGAAAAATGACGTTTAAATTAATTATGTTTAAACAATACGCTATTTTCAATTTCTGTATGTAAGTAAATTATAATTATGCATTTTAATGTTAATCACTAAATATGATAGTCTTATTAAAATTTTAAAATGCCATGATTGAAACCTGTCATAATTGATTGTGAATGCCTTGGAAGCATAATGCATCAGGGAACCATAATCATAAGACAATCCCATGTTATCAGTATTTAGTGTTGTTCGTTTTTCAAAATTTCCTTGAGTACCCTTGAAATTACTACAGTGAAAGGAATGAATGAATAAATGAGTGAACTGAAGTAAATAAAGTAGGACTTCATCATTTTTTTTGAAAGGTATCATTTGTCCAAAATGATAAGAAGTATAAAGAACGGTACTGCTAATATGCTAAAGGTCTGAAAGTCTAAAATTGGATCGAAAAGTTTACACTACCGGATAAATATTAATATGATTGATCCAAATATTATTGTCACGATCGCTACGTGATTGTTCATGCCAAAGACCCAAAGCATGTAGTACTTCATGTGCTACTATACCCATCTAAATTATTTCAAACTAATAAAATCAAGCGTAATAAAAACCTTTTGATATTGCATTTACAATAAATATTAAAATAGAAGAATGAATTGTTGATGTTTAATATGTCAAATTCAATTTGATGATAAACTTTAATAAATAATTAATAATTTTTATTTCAATTGTAATTTAAGGAACGAAAAATTAAAATTGCACGAAAATTAAAGAAATTTCACCGCTTCACATCCAAATCCAATGGATATCAGTTGTCGACCTCCAATTTTACCAACATTACTCCAACATCCTGATGCTCGTGTGAAATATATGTAATTCTTGTTATCACCGTTCTCCTGGACATACTTTTTAATAATCACAGAAAGTTTTAGATCATGTCAATTTTTAATTAAACTTTTGTTATCAGACAAATTTTAAATCGTTGTTGTGAAACATCAAATTAGTTCGTAAAATGATTTTTGACACCGGAAATTAATTGAATTCGTCAATTGTGTTGTTGATAATTTAAATTTGCTCACATCAACATTATTTTTTTAGTACAAACCTTGAAGCGAACACATGTTTCCATTTCGATATGATGTAAAGCGGTACGAATTAAATTTCGCCATTTAACTACAAATCATTTCAAATAAAAATTCTTTTTCAAATTTTGAAAAAAAAACTTTTGTTAAAAATTTTTCAAATTATCCATTATTTAGAGGAAACGATTCTGGAGTAAACTGCTTGTCAAGCAAAACAATTTTAAACTGAATTAATTATCAATTTTTCGGTTCACCATCAGAACTGCCGAAATGATATGATATTGGCGTTTTCACCCAATTATATCGCATTCCACGAATTGCTTGCCGGTTATTTCCTTAAATTAATACTATTTCACATATAATCAATAATAATTATATGTGTTCCATATAACCAAACAGTGATAATTATAATGATGTTAATTCATTCAGATTTATAATTTCTCTACTAACTGTCAACAAAATGGAACTTTAATTTGCTTAATTATTGACGATTTCAACAAAATTCTTATGATATGTTTATAATTAATTAAGAAAGTTGAATTTAAAATTGAAAGCGTGAATTTTTTAAAGGAATCATTTTTTTACATGCGGCTATTTTTGTGTAATATATTTATTTCACTTCATCACATATATAAAAATATGATGGAATAAAATTTGTTACAAATGAAAGGTTTTTGAAAGAGATAATAGGTCAAGTTGTTAGATATACGGATATCGGAACCCTCAAACTTTATCAAATTCATCTTTAATTTTTCCATGGAAAGATAAAAACCAATTTGGGAGATTTTCAACTATTACTTGTTGACACTATCTTTGTGATAAAAGTTATCGGTAACAAAGATGGCAGAAAATAATAAATTATAATATATATGTATCTGCGCGAACAGAATAATTCAGTTGTTATGATGTTTAAAGTAAATTTTTTCTTTTTTATTTATTTTTTTAAATTTATTTCTTGAATATACTGAAAATTTTACATTGTATTAATAACTTACTGCCTTTAATGTCTTCATTGAGTAAAGCCTTAACTTGCGGTAAAGTTAATAAGATGTCACTCTCGAATAGATCACCCGCAATACCTTCCTTACGATTAATGCTTCCTTCCGTACCATCATCGGTGGGAATATCTTTCAAATCTTTGCTTACTTTTTTAGAATCCTACAACAGAAATTTGAAAATTCGAAAAATTCAGCAAAATAATAATGAACTTGAATTATATCAATATGTAAAGAAAAGAATACATCGATATCAGTGAGATTATCTAAAAATCTTCTTATCAAACTTTCTTTCAATTCTTTTCTCATTCTTTTTGTTCAGCCTGCTGAAGTCAATTGCTTTTCCAGATTTGATTTACAAAATGAAATAGTGTTAACACTGAGATGACTTATTTAAAAAAATGTTAATATCACTAACACACTAATATGAAAAAAATATTGATATCACTAATATTATGTACTTATAGATTGGTCAATTCATTTTATCAAATTAAGCAAAAATCTCATTAGATCCAATTTCAACAAATTTGTTAATGCCACAGTTTAATATATTACAAAACTATTTGTTTCCGTTTTATTTTATTTGTGATTTGTTTGGCAAATTTATAACTTTGGAAGTTCATAACTTTAGCATTTATAACTTTGGAATTATTTTCTTCTTTTAATATAACAAAAATTAAAAGATCGAGTTGTTTTACATTTCTCAAAGGATTTAAACCAGGTTCATATTTATATTATCAACATACTTACATAGTCATGAAATGTTCCATATTTTCGCGCCGTTATCTCGTAATACTGATCTAACAGTACTCGAACTTCCGCATAATTATTCGGAATAATATTATCATTTTGAGCGTTTATCTGTTTCAAAATAAACTTCCATATAATATGGTATGAACAATGCAAATTAGATATGTGGTAATCTTAATTCACTTTTGATTAAAGAATTATAATTACTAATTAATTAACAATTTATGTTGTTATATCATACCGTTAATTATAAATCAAAAAATCTTGCATTACATATGTTTATTTAACATACGTTAAATAAACATATGTAATGCAAAACTTTTTGTATATTACATACACACATATTAGTTGCTAACATTTTCATTTTTAAATAAATCTTGCAAATTTCATTTTTTGCTTTCTTTAACCAAACCTTACAATTATATGACATAAATATATAATCGCTCGTAATAATGCTTTCATCTCGTCCTTTTAATGCATTACAAATTTTACCTGTGAAAATGAAGAAAGAATTACAATTAATAATTTTGAAACGGAAATAATAACAAATTAATGTAAAGATTTAAATCAAAAAAACAGAAGCATTCCAAAACTTCATTACTCTAAAATGTTTCCGTTATTTTTATGTGATGATACGATCATTTTAGATGTCATGAAAAACATAAAAATAGTGGAAAATTCATGTCAATTGTTTAAAATATGAAATTTAATTGTCTCGAAAATTCCATGTAGGATATTTATCACATCAGTTAAAATGTCGGAATGATCATTATCAACTATCATAAACAAAATGAAAATGAATAAAAATAAAGGCATGATTGAAAAGGCGTATGTGTGGGTGTGTGTGTGTGTGTGTTCGAATGATTGCTTGTGGGCAGCCACAGCCTTGTAAAACAAAAAAAGGTTAGAAACACTTGTCAATTCCAATGTTTCGATTCATGATGGTTTTAACTCCATTTGGTTAACCTTGACATTTGTTGGATGTCATTCCGGTTCCACACATTATTATTTATTTTAAAGAACGATTAATTTCATATTTCAATTACAATCTGATCTTGGATAAATCAATGCATGCCAAGAAAAATTCTTTATTTGAAAAAAAATGTTTCAAATCTGTTACTAAAATGATCGGATCAATTTTTGCATATAGTAATAACGGAATGAAATTATATACATTGATTCTTGCAAAATCTTTCGAATTAAAACTTATCACTCTATTTCACCTTTCTTTGCATAACTTATTATTGATGGAAATTGCTTTTAACAGTTAAGAACTCGTGTGTCCTACATTTCAAATAACGTTAATGAAATTAAAAAAATAAATCTAATTAAAAACTGAAAGTAATTTTCAAGCCAACTGATGAACCAACGTGACACTTGGTGTCACCGCATTCTTTCAAATTTCAGATGAGCTGTTCATTCTTCTCGAAACGATGTGACCCTTTAAGTCGTGGTACAGAATAATGACATTTTTCAGGCGCATTACCAAGTCGTACAACGACTGTCTTTAAGACTCCGGCTTTTACAATATTCACAGTTTATACCATTCCTTCTGTTTTAAAATAATTTACGAATGTACTCAATCATCGGAGACCAATTACTGAAGTGAAATAGAAATAAAACAATCAACTTCTTTCCTAAAGACACAAAGCAAGTCTTCGAATAGTACATTCTTTTTTGTTTTGTTCTTTCATGTTTTTGAACTTATTTTCGAAATTAACAAGATCTTCCCTCGTATGTCTTTAGCGTCAGGACCGCCTTTTTAAGGCACCCTCCTTTCCGTTATCATTCTTGCTGGCAGTTTTTTTAAGGAATCGCTTAGTTTCTTTCTTTTAAATTGGAAAACAGATTATCATATTAAAAACTTCGTTACAACTCTTAATAATCTCTTCAACAACTTAGATCAATAATCGTTAATTTAAAAATTTTCTGATTTACAACTTAAAATTAATGAATTTGTGTCAGAATTGGCCAATGCCTTGAATTTCTCAGTTCTAGGCAGAAACCAGTTAGCGAGACAGTTTATTGTGATAAGAACAGTTACAATAAATAAGGCAAACAAATCCATTATTAAATATTAATATGGAACTATAAAATTATTCGCTCACCCAGTCCCTTCGCATTATTAAACAAGAAACATGACTCAGACAACGAAGAATCAAATATATGAGAAGAGAAAACCTACATACTTTCATTCGAGCTGTAAAGAAACAAGCTTTCCAAAGGGTAGAAAGGAAACTTTATGTTAGTAGTATATTACTTAATGTACAGATGAATATGAAAGAAATTGAAATTAAGTGTCAAAAGAATGAACAAAGAGTATGGACCCTCACAAAAAATACGCGACAAAATTTAAATTGATGTGTACGATGAAAGAGGTTATATTCCTTGTAATCATTTTACCATCCCATCTTCACAGATCGGATAATTTCGAATATAGCTGAAATTATTGAATATAAAAGTCAAAAAAGCCTTCTATAAAATCCTATTAGAATCCAGAAGTATTATTATGATTATTGCCAAAACTTTTCGAATACTAAAACAATTTATATTCCTACGCGGATGTACCTACTGCATAAGGGAAAACCATTTTTTTTTTTTGATCAATTTAAATCCAGAAACATTAGAAAACATTTCTAAGAAAAAAGCACAAAACAACTTAGGTGCAATTGATTCCTTCGTGTTTATGAAGAATCTAGATAAATAATTTCATAAAATCAACTGAAGTAAAAGGAAGTTAAAATTAACCCAGAACAGAGCTAAAAGTATTTCTACACTTTTTCTGGTATATTCAAGTTAAAACCTTAAAGAAATAAGCAGTTGTCTTTTGCATTAATAACACTGACTATCTCAACAAAAATTAGTGACTTCCTCTCCGCCTTATGAATTCAATCTGCTATGAGTGATAACTACTAAATATAAGGCTACAACACGAATGCAAGACACTCTATATGATTGAGATGTGATTCGAGGCATTACCAAGGCTGACAGGAAATTACAGTATTAATCAACGTTTAGCAACATAACAGAAATCTCACCGGAACCGCAAACAACAAAGACAAAAAGACCAATTAACCATGGAGTCGTTGCATATTTATCTTCTTGCGGCTTCTAAAAATATTTTCTTTAATTTGTATAACTTATAGTTCAATAAAAAATCCAATAAATAGTCTATCCTATTAAAAATGTTATTTACAGAGGTAAATATGCTGCAGCCAAAAAAAAAATGGACTATAAGAAAGGTCCGATAAGCACGTCAGCTTCAATCACATGTTAAAAATATGCGTGATACAAAAAAACCACAGAGCCCTGCTAAATTATGCAAAATTAATGAAGACTACACACGTCTGTCAATCAGCAATTTGACAACGTTATAAAACGATACCTTATTAAAGTACTTACTAAAGTTTTCTGTACATTGCCACGTGATAACACATTCCTGCTGAAGACTGAATTTGCCACATTCATTCGCTGTTTGGCAGGCATTTATATTGACTGAAAATAAAACAAAATTGTTTCAGAAAGTATTCTTCATCTAATCTGAACGTAAGATCGGTTTCTAATGACAAAAGAGAATATAGTCTGAAATTTGCTCTTCAACATTCTTAACATTGAGTAGAACTCTTTGCATGTGATATTACCGATAAAGCAGCGATACAAAGACTATTGATCATGTGATATTCATACTCAATGCAATAAAATTTATGTTCGTCTCATATGTTTTCTTTATGATTTCACTAAAATATTGGGAAGAACTTAAAAAATTAAGTCTGAAGATTTAGTCTTATATATGGTCTTAACATCTCACAGCGTAGAACACTGAGAGAATAAAGTTTGTTATAACTGTCCAAAATAACAAGCATTTTCTCTTCTCCTCTCTTTCACTTATTCTAAAACATCACTGCTTCCTCCTCCCACAACACCACCAATCATCACATCACCCATAACAACGATTTATGTAGAAGGCAATTATATATCATATGTGTTCCACGTCATATCTTTTAATCTTTTCGCGTCATATTTGGACACTGATAAAGTGAGAAGTCGACAAAGAGAGGAGAGAGAGAGGAAAAAGGGAGAAAAGGATCTCATGAAATATGAACTAATTTTACTTCAAACAAAGCACATCAGCATCACCTCCTCATGCAATTCTCGAGCTCCTACAAGATTAGCAAAATGACATCTAACCCATTATAGTATACAAACTACATCTCTTTTAATGACGGCGTGAAATTTCAGTCCCAGAATACAATTAAGACTCTTCATAAAGCGAAGGGATAGTCAGGTGATAACAGCATGTAAATATCTAAAATACCTGTGGTGGTGTGTTAATTTCAACGATTGAAGAGTCATATCTACCGGATGCATGGTGTAACAAAGTGTACAATGTTTCGTATTCCCTTGATATCATTTGTCAGAAAAATTGAAAAAACAATGCAATTGAAGAAAACAAGTGAATATTATGAATTAAAAACAAATAGAGCTGATGGCTCTGTTGCTATCAGCTAGTTTGAGCTGCTCGCTGTTGTCTATTATATGAAATATTTTCGATGAAATGATTCATAGCATAAATAGCATATCACATACAAACTCAATAAGACTTAATAAAGTGGGTAAAAAGTTGAAAAGACAATGCAATTGAAGAAAACAAGTGAATATTATGAATTAAAAACAAACTTTATTAAATTGTTAAAAATTGTGTACAAAGTGATAGGTGAATACATAATCAGATGTTTAGTTTATTTGAAACTAAAGTGAGAAAAAAAATTAAGGTGTGGCACGAACCTGAAGCATGTAAAAAGGTACTAATGGAACAGATTCAAAAAAAAAGAATTATAACAGGTAGTTTAGCAACTTCAACCACAGTGCTCAAAGTAAGCACTCGTCATTTCCTTCTTTTTTCTTAGACATTTAGCACAATTTAAACTAAACAATTCTTTGAACATAATTTATGAATTTTGAAAGATTAGAAAGAAAAATTTGTTCATTGTACGGTTTTTATTCATGTGAGATAATGTTGATAAAAAATTCTAGTAATAAAATAAGCAAAGGATTTGAAAACAGAAAGGAGGATATTTTAGTGTGCATGATTTTTTCATCTATTAAGGATCGATAAGGCGTAAGTGTACTACGTGTAAGTACACGTGTAAATATGCAGTCAGTATGGAGTCATGGAATGAAACAGATGACTATATATATATACATATACAGGCAGTTATCGATTAAAGAAATTGGCGCCAATAGTTTCAGGATAACCTGCGGAATGTTCTAGAAGAACCTATATATAGCCGTCACTTTTGGCGGGAAATCTTGAAGTAGACTGGCAGCGATAACTGCTATTTTAGGTTCATTCCTTACAGCTGGCAGCAGAGTGAATGGTCGTGTGTGTCTGTGGGGTTAATGGAATATAATGCATGGTGTCTTGCGTGT